CCTGCTTTTCCCAGCACCATAATCACTTTAGTCTCTAAGTCTTTAGCTCCTGGGATTTGAAATAATTGGCTTCTTTCAAGGGCTGTCTTTTCCTTCCCTAGCAGACTGCAAGTTACCAGCTCCTTTTCCATTGCTTTTATGCTATTTTTCCCAGTCTTAGTTTCAATTTGGCTTTGGACAAGTGTCCCATCAATAAACAGCTGATCAAGAGTCACTTCACGCTCCATGGCCACAGACTTGCACACGTCTCGGAAATAATCCATAAGTGATGTACAGAAAGCTTCCACTGGCTCTAGAGAAATCAAAACCACACAAATTGAAGAAACCAGTCCACAAATTACAACATTGCTTCAGGGTGGTTTAAGTACATAATTGTAATATGGTCAAAATGCATCAGTTCCCATAAAGCATGTAGGTCTGGAATTAAATTAGGAATACAGGCACAACAGACACTTTTAGACCTATGAACTGAATCATTTTGGAGGCATCTACACATATGATAAAACCAGCTGAGTACACTGACCTCCTAAGTAGGTACTACAGCTAGATATCAAAAGGTAGATAAGGCTAACATCTTAAAAACAGGAATTGTGCTCAGACATTTGGAACAGCCTCATAAATTGTTGGATGACAGCTTCTACAACGAGCAGTGTTTCTGTGCGGATAGAAACAGAGACAAAATAGCCATAATAGACTGAAAGTTTTAAGTTCAAGAGATCTGAACTCACTTGGTCTTTTGAAAGGTTCTTCAGAAGGAATTATGGGAACTCGAACTTCTTTGAACATTTCTAAACCTGGAGAAACAAAACAATGTATTTGAAGACACCTAGACAGTCATCTGTTCTGCTTTACTGATTTAAAAAATAAGATTAATTTTCAAGCTCATTGCAACATAAATTAAGTATCGTCCGGCAAAAGAGATATTTTGCTTACTTTATTACAAAGGAAAGCAAAAAATGCTCACACGAGTACCATTCTTCAGCTGACATGACCTGTGTGACACCAGCTAAGATGACAGCAGTTCCAAGAGCCGTATGAAGCAGCAGATCTGTCATAACAAGGTGACATCCACTGTTCTTTTCAAATGTCAGTGTGTCACATAAATTGATGTTCACACCCAGGACTTCTTTATGTCATCAAAAGCAATAGCTTCCTTTTGTTATTCTACACCTTTCTATCAAGCATTAAGGATGAAAGTCACAGAGAAGTGACTGTTGGTAACAGAATTTACACGTTACTCTTCCTGATGAAGCACTGTCACTGTTCAGTGTTCTTTGGTTTTGCCTGTTAGTTTTCTAACTACCGCAGACGTTTGCACTTGGTCAGATGAGCAGTGTCTGCCACACACAAAGAAACTGGGAATTTTTCAGAGAAAGCATATTTTCTACAGACTGTTAATGACAGGGTATCAGTTTTGACAAAACTTTTGGAATTAAAAGCTTTGCAGACGCAGGATGGGATTTCAATTGACAGAGACTGTAACAAACCCAACCTCACCAATGGTCTCGTGGTAACCACACTCAGCAGAGATATGGAAAAAAACCAGGCTGATGACCCTAAATTTGTACAAATGTGTTTATTACCATAATATTTGGTTCTCTTGATGTAGAATGTGGTTTAAAAAGTCTTAAAGTTTCAGAGAGCTGGATACCGATTCCTACCTTGCATGCTGGCAACAGGTGAATAGTGAGAGTCAGAGTTGCTTCTAACAGACTTCTAATAAGCAAGTCCTTTTGCCAGTGAAAGAATACGTTTGATACATAGTTCTCTTGCAGAAGAAAAATCAACTTCCAATATTAAATAAAGAGGGGACATACCTGTTTTCAGGCAAGTGTCTTGTTTTGGTTTACTATTTATTTTATTAAATAAAAAAATCCCAAAATGGAAAACCAAGAAAAGCTGTAGTGAGACATTTAGATGGGAAGCAGCACTGGTCAATTCAATCAACTTTTTTAAAAAGGAAAAGAGACTGGCTTGGTAGCTTATGTGATAATTTTTTGTGGCATTTGGTTTTCTGAGGCTTGCAACATGCTCACATACATTGTGCTGCTGTAAATCAGTTGGACTTATTACTCTTGTGCATTCAAAGAAACAGTAAACATAATTTACAAATACTGCCCCAAACCGAGGGCTATTTGCCTATTAATTTGCCTTTCAAATTCGGCTCCTTTGAGTGGTGTAGCCACCAGAGGGCAACAAACCATCGGTACTGAGCTGCGAGCAGACACTAAGTAACCACTGAATCAAACTCCCTGTTCTAACAGCTCTGAGGAAACAACTCTTTCTGGAAGAAAAGATTCTGAGGAAAGTTTGCCACCACAGGTGGGACTGTTATGCCCTGACCAAAGCTCTGATTTCTTTATAAACCTTTCTGGATATTAGGCTTCTGTGTCGTTTAATCACAGAATGTCAGGAGTTGGAAGGGA